TCTTTTCCCTGTTTCTCCATTTCTTGTTTCTGTCTTTTACAACTTCTTTTCCTTGCCTTCTTCCCCCTCTTCTTCTCCCTCCCCTTTTTACCCCCTCGTCTCTCTACTTCTAACTCTCTCAATTGTAATCCCCTCTTCTTTTGCTTTCTAATATTATACTTATCTTTCAAATTGTTCTTCTTTTTGGTTGTTTTTTCTAGTCTTAAACCTTTCACTCTCTTTCCCCCCTTTTCTCTCCCCCCTTAAAATTATTTGATCATTAAAGATGGCTTCTTCTTTGTCCCAATCTTCTTTTTCTGCAAGCGTTTCTTGTTGTTTCTCATAGTTTCAGATCTCCATTTCTAAGAATTGAAACATGAAGCCAAAAGAACTTCTCCCTTCTTGTGCCTCTTCTTTCCATTTTTTAAGTTCCATTTTCAGTTCTTCTAAGAATGATACCATTTTAAAGACTTTTAAACAACCACCCGGTTAATTTTAGTCATCTAGATGCAAAAACCAAAAATCACCAAGTAATCCAAATAATCCAAGGCTGTTTCTACTTGCTTCTTTTTTCCACTTTCTCTTCCTGGGGTTCTATTATTTTGTTACCAAGTTTCCGTTAAAATGTATCTTTGAGGAATCTTGTTAAAATTTCACTGTAAGTTCCTTTTAGTTACAGTTCCATTCCTTAGTTCCAGGCAGTCTCCTCCATTTTTCCAGATCCTGCCCTTTTCTTCTTTTTTTTTCTCTTTTCCTGCTTTTAAAAACTTTTAAATATCCAGAAATCTTTATTATCCTTTTGACTTTTATTTTCAGCTTAGATGCCTATTAATGTCAAAGTGGATTTTTTTCAATTTCTTGCTTAAGTCTCTTAGCTGTCAGTATAAAGAAGGGAAGAAAAAAAAACCTAATCCTTTCCCTTCTCTCTCTCCTTCGCAGCTTCAAAATCTTCTTTGCGAACAATGTTATTAAATTTAAATTCCAGGGTACCTTACATTGTTGCTTTTTCGATTTAACCCGGTCAACCAAAACTTTCTCTACTTATCTTCCTCCTGCACATTCTTTTCTGGTTCAGTTCTTCTTTGAGGTGGCCATTTCTGACCACCGCTGCAACCGCCTTCAGGAAAGGGAGTAATGGCCAGCTGGGGAAGAGAGATGCGGCTCTCCTCGATCCTGCTGGCAATCTCCCCCTTCTTCACCACCTCTACGGGGTGGCTTAACCCCGAAACCAGCCGGCTTGGGGCGCTCTGGCGGCGAGCACAGATTGAAACCACGCATGATCGCAGATTTCGGTCTGTCGCCAAAGAGACTCAAACCGGAAGTTGCATGTAAAAATATTTCTAACTGAACTAATACTTGTGAATTTTAAAAAATGACTTTCACACTGAATGTCAGTAACTTGGGTATCTACTATTATGTTTCTATATATTTCAAATCATTCAATTGCTACAGCCTTCCAATATTCCAACCACCTGAATTACTATAGACCCATTGTCTGTAGTGATGAAGTGCTTTGAGAGACTGGTTTTTCAACACCTCAGACCATGCCTTCCATCAAATTTCGACCAATATCAGTTCGCCTACAGAGGAAATACGTCGACAGGCAACGCCATTGCTACTGCCCTACATTCTGTCATGAGTCATCTAGAGAAATCTGGGAACTACGTCAGAATGCTTTTCATAGATTTACAGCTCTGTTTTTACACCATTTTGGTGGACATCATCAGAAAGTTGACTGTCTTGAATTTCCCTTCTCTCACCTGTGATTGGATTAAATACTTTCTGACGGACCGGCCACAAACAGTGAGAGCTGGGTCTTTCACATCCTCCTCCCTGAAGCTCAGCACTGGCTCTCTTCAGGGCTGTGTGTTCAGTCCCTACCTGTACTCGTTGTACACATACGACTTCATATCTTCTGATCCATTTAACATGATAATAAAGTTTGTAGATGATACCACCATACTGGGTCTTATTACAGGAGGAGTGTTCTGACCAAGGCTTCCTGAGACACCAACAAACACACATAAAATCCAAAAACCCTTTTAATTTTTCAATGGCTGTGAATTATCATCATTCACAGCCCGGAATGAGTCTTAACCAGTTATAATTAGTCCCAGGGACATCTGCTGAAGTTCTTCAAGAGACATCTGATAAGAACACACCTTATCTTACTTGAAGTGCTGCCAACGTCTAAAGTCCCAATTAGTCTTTCCAAAAGCAGAGGACAAATTCACCACGGAGCTTTCAGAGTCCAAACTGATCAGAGCGAACAACATTGCTTCCTGCAAAGGTTTTCCTACCTTTGCACTTCCGTTATATCTTATGGCAGGGGCATTCACCTCCAAGCCTTACTCCCGAGTCGCCCCTTTGTCTTAGCTGCTCTTGCCTTCTGGCAGCTCTGCACACACGCGCACTGGGAACAGGCTCCCCTTGTTCCTCTGCCTTGCTTCTGCCAGATTCTGGAGGCTCCAGAGTCAGCACATAACTCCCAGATGGTCCTGGCCCCATCTCTATATTGGACACAAGAACCTCATCCGGGTCCTCCCCACATTCCCGGACTGGTCCCTGTTCTTTTCCACTGTCCAATTCCGCTGCTGTCTGCACAGGCTGCCAGTGAACCACAACAAGGAAATGAATTAGCATACAGGGAAGAAGTGCAGAAGTTATCCACATGGTGCTCAGAAAACAATTTGCATCTAAACACCAGCAAAATAAAGGAGATAGTGTTAGACTTCCGGAAGCAGAGAGGAACCTGCCCCACTCTACATCAAGGGGGGCTTAGTGGAGAGGATCTCCTCTTTCATATTTCTGGGAGCCAAGATCTCACCTGGAAAAATAACATGATCAGGAATAACAAGGTCAGGAAGGCTCAACAGAGACTCCAGTTTCTTAGAGTCTTGCAGAAATATCAGGTGGAACAACGACTGATGACTTCCTTTTACCAGTCTATGATAGAAAGCGTCTTTACAGAGGGAGATGAGTACAGCACAAAAAATTATGGGCTGTCCCCTGACACTATTGGATGAAATCGTCAGGACCCACTATCTCAGCAGAGTGAGGAAAATCCTCAGGGATGATTCACATCCTGGTCAGCACTTCTTTATTCTCCTACCATCAGGCAGGAGATATGGAAGCATAACCAGCTGAACAAATAGGCTGAAAAATAGCTTTCATCCGTGGGCTGTCAGACTTCTGTATGCAATATAACACCACAACTAGGTTTAATATGATAGACTTGCAGGTCCATCGCAATGTGCAACATGTTCATACCAGTGTAATATAATATAATGTTACATGCATATAGGTATATGGGGATGTGTGTTAGTTATTACTTATTTGGGTTTAGGGATTCTATTTCATTTATTGTGTTATTGATATGCATTTTATGTTTTTTTGGGGGGGGGCTGCACCAAGGGAGGCTCATTTCAATTTCATTGTACACATGTAGTGCATTGACAATAAATGGTTGATTTGATTTGATTTGATTTGGGTCAGCATATCTGATGCCATTTCCTGTTTGCTAGAGCAACTTTGTCCTTGTAGGATATTAAGATTTCTGGGGAAAAAATAAACATAAGTTGGAAAAAAACCCTAATAACATTCAAGACTTGTTGAACTAACAAAGATTTTGTTGTTCAAGAAAAGAGCTAAACTAAATGAAAGACTACCTTTCCTATCTGTGTTTATACAATCACTTGCTTGTGATAATTGCTTGTGAGTATTGCTTGTGAATTTTCAACAGGTAATGTGCAGTTGTATTCACAGTTACATATTTCTTTTTTCTAAGCCATTCAGTCAAAAACTTCCTAAAGAGATTTAGAACAGTTTGTATTCAAAACTGTTTATGTTCAGGAGTATGTCTTCTTTTTGTTGTACCTGGTTATGCTTTGTTGTATCTGGTCTCATCTTCCAAATGACTGTAGTCCTCCATGACAATCAAAGCAAAATGGGGGAAATGAAGCTGCTATTCCTACTCCAGGAAGAAAATATTCAATACTGCCCAATATCATTTCATGTGCATCCTTCATTTCATATTTCATTTCATATTTAATATTTCATGGCTATTCAAGCAGCAGTCACATCCAGTGTTAATTCCCTGAAATTTAAATTAGTCTTCATACTCAGTGGGAAAGACATGATTAATTAGCAGTCCGAAAGCTCCTCTTGGGGTATGAACATTTGCCCATCTCTTCTCAGTCAAAAGAAGAAAAGGCATATATACTTTCAATAAGTGTTTCAAGCTAATATACCCAGGATTACAAGAAAACTTATGGTAAACAAAGTCCATCTGGTTTCATTTTTGCTTGTAATTAATTACAAGAAAACTTATGGTAAACAAAGTCCATCTGGTTTCATTTTTGCTTGTAAGAGCCAATGTAGCATCTGACACACAGATTATTAAATATTGTATGTATTATTAAAATCTGTAATAATGAAAAGTAACTTCATCATTTAATTTTTTACCCTAAGCCTAAACATATAATATATGCAGTGGTCATTCTAGTGGAGAAGTATTTCTGTTAATTTTCCATCTTGGGCGGAAAAGTGCTATTGAAACATACTCTCTAGTGAAGAAGCATTGAGTAAAATTATGTTCAGGACAACTTATCATAGCAAAATTGAAGTGATTCAATAGCTTACTGAAAAACATTTCATACTATTCCCATTCTTGATTTTATTCCCATCCTTCATTTTATTTTGTTAAGCTGCTTATTTTGACAATAGCATGGATCTGTATAGAATATTAGTGATGTTGTTAAAGTTTAGAAATAAATGATTCAGTTAATACCTACTTCAAAAATATGTTCAGATATTTGGCTGAAAGCTTCCATGCTAATTCTATAGTTTGCCACTTGGCTAGAAAAATTAAGATACGTTTTTTCCCTTCCTCTTGGTGACAAAATTGCATAAAATAAACCTGGGACATTTTATTGAGATAATTTCAGAGAAAATTTTGCAGAAAACCTGATTATTTGCATTAAAAAAACACCCTATGTTATGTATCTTGTATTTTTGTACATTTCTGTGTTCAGTGAGCATTTTCCATGTTTGTGATATTTTAGGTAAAGTGTTGCTGAGAATAACCAGAAGAATAAGTTCAAAGTGGGACATAGTGCAAGAATAGCCTTTTGGATTGGGGGCAATTTGCTGAATTCTATATATGTGTTATGTGCCTATGCAGCTATTACACACACACACACACACACACACACACACACACACACACACACACA